CTCACTGTCACCGCTGTCACAGGTGGAAGAGGCCGTGTCCTTTTTTTGGGCGACGAAGATCCTTGGAAGAAGTTCAGAAGGTGTTGATTATGTTGACGCATCTCCACCTCTGTGTTTAAATCCGAACAAACATGACAGACACCATCAGACACCCACTGCGAAAGAATGACTGACAATGACAAAGGTTTTGTTGTTTTAGTTCAAACCCTTCACAATTTAAGATCTACCAAGTTCGACGTCTGAACTCCATGGGCCTCAAGTGACCCCCGATGTAGTTTGCAAACCCGTGAGATTTGCCACCATTCGGCCTTCCAAACGTTCCCAACCCCCATCACTGTCCTCCTGAGTCTCTCTATGAGGCTCTACTGTGGCCACTCTGAGGCTCTACAGTGCCATGAACTGGTCCTCCTGGGGTGCAACGTCTCAGGATCTCCAGCCGCTTTTGCCGGTCACTCTGCCAGCCGCTGTCCCAGCCACCGCCACAGCTGCCGCTCCGGATGTGGTGATCCAAGCCAGGCGTTCTTGGATGGCCGATGGACCCCATGCGGCCGCCCATGGCGCGTGCTGGACGGGCATGCATAGCAATTTGATCGTAGAGCCCTTGGAGTTTCCTGGAGTTCTTGGCAACCTTGGCACCGGCCCACACGAACCGGAGATCGATCCCGTCTCTGGCTTGGAGGTGTACCTCAGCTACTCCTCAGTGGGCGTAGAACATGGCTGGCTGAGTGAAAAGTTGAGAGGTTGGAAGGAGTTGGAGCCTTTTTGAGGAGACCTGTTTCAGGCCATTCAATTTGCTCTCTACCAATCCATGGCTTCGGTTTTTTCCAGCGAATTTCCACCATCGAAGTAGCAACCAGGATTCCTCACCCAGCTCAGGTACGAGCTCCCGACACCTTATCCGCTGGAAGTGGCGCCGAAACCGCCCCGGGAGCTTGACCCGGCCGTGTTGCTGGGTCCAGCTCCAGAGTTCCAAGAGATCTTTGGCACGCGAGAGGAGCACTTCGAGGCCCAACGGGAGCACTGGAAGTCACAGCGAGGTTTGGTCATGGACGTGGGTGAGTGCGTTTTTTCCATCGTTTTTCGGTTATGGAAGGCGGAGATGTGGACTTCAAAGTGGCATTGTAGCTTTTACTACTCGGGGCCGAGGCGAACATGTTCAGAACAAGTCCAGATTTTGCTGGAGGAGGGTCGAAGTGGATAGCACCAAATTCATCGATCACGTCAGTTTTTCTTGTTCGTTCTGTGACTTGATGATGGTTAGCGGCTAGATATGATCAATTGGGATCTCCTATATAAATGCTGTGATCGCCTCTTTTCGAGGACCCCTTGCCATCCTCCAAGCTCCTGAGGCCGGGCCGACTGGGAAGAGGGTGGTTCGGTGGTTCAACGTCTGGGTGCTTCCGTGGTTCTGAACGATTTTGGATCCCAAGTGGAGAAAGGTTGATTGTTGATATTGGGATCCGGTCCCTCATAGGTAGGCACCGGATGGGAAAGAGAAGGTTTTCATGCTGGAGCGATTCAGGCATCACCACTTTGAGAACTTTGAGTGTTGATAAATACCTGAAAATACCTAAGCTTCTGTTGCTAACTTGGAGTCTTTGTTCCTGATCAGGCCCAATGTGCGAGAGCAGATCCCCAAAGAGCTCTGGGATCTAAAGCCTTGGCGGAGGCACTGTGCGCCCCGGGTCAGGGTCGGCCAGGAAAGCAGATACAGCTCGAGAATTGGAGACGGCCCAAATCCATGTCGTCACATTTCCCGTAGGCCCGTAGCCAACTTACAGGGCACACTTTCACAGCGCAATTGGGTTCAAACGAGGCAGTCAAATCAAATCATCAAACGATCACGTGGCTCATGTGGACTGATCTATCGGAGGTCAGTGAAGCAAGGCCCTCCTGTGATCAAGACAGACGTGGTGCAATCAGCAGCATGGCTGCCGCAGGATCCGTGCGGCGGTAGGGCATGAGGAATTGCAATTTGCCTTTGGCTTCGTAGTTTGATCATTCGCAAGAGGTTTCTGTGAGGCATTGTGAGGCAATCGTCGTACCGCAAGCCTGTTTACCCCTGATGCATGATCCAGTTTTGGTTGATGTCTTTGGCCGTAACCTTACCCTCCAGACGGATTCATGCAGGATGCTGCTGGCGTCGCATGGTGCCAGTCGTATGGTGCTGTTTCCGCCACATTGGGCGATCAGGTCATCGACGACTTGGATCACTTCGAACGGCATTTTCCGGCTGCAAAGGAGCGCAGCGGCTGGGGATCTGGGCACGGCTTGGAAAACAAAGTTTGGTTGGTATCTAAAGCTGCGGCTGGGCTCTGTTTGCCTAGGTGTCCACCAGTGTGCTACTCCTTTTCGGTCCCAGTTGCGGTGGTCCTATCCCAGCTGTTGCAGTCATGACCACCTTTGATTAACAAGCAGCGGCGATGTTGTGATGCATCAAAATAGATAAAACATGTTCCTCTAGCTTGGCAACTGCTGGGCTTCTTGGTTTTAGCCAGCAGTTGCGAATCAGCGTGCTGGCTGTGGTGTTTGAAGACTGGATAATAGCAGAACGATCAAATCAGGCAGTGTATCAGCTCGTTCTTAATGGAGATTCGGAGAAGCCCTTTCGATCCCCAAGGCCTGTTGCAGATTCTTCAAATTTTGGGTCTGGTCCATCTCCTGGGAATCATGGACTCATTGGAGCAGACATGTCCTTCACCAACTGGTATACCTTCCCCCTTCTAGGGCCAGGCAGGGTCCAGCTTCCTGCAGAGGCACCAGAGTCACCGTGAGAAGTGCCAAGAGTCGTAGCTGGCGGGACTTTGGCAGAAGTGCGGCGCAAGCGAGTTGGGCATGGAGTGTTTTGGATGAAGGGCCAACAACCAATCAAGTAGCCTGAAACTATCTATGTTCATTTGACCTAGTAGGTGAATTGAACTGTGCCTCTTGGACACTGCTAACCACAGCATTTGTTTTCAGGACTTGGGTCCCACTTGGTCCCACTTCCGCTCGAGTGAATTCGTTCGCGTTGACATAATCTGGCCGAAAAGCGGCCAAGAAGGATGAAAGAAAACCCGTGAAAGGACGGGGGCGGCCTAAAAGGACTTATTTATATTATAGTTATGTATTATATTATATTGTATACATATTATATTATATACTATATGTATTAATATTATATATATATATATTTGACCAGGGGCATTTCGAAAGGGTCAAAAGGCATGCTGGTGGGTATGTTGCTAGAGATGGCAGCTGGTGAAGGTCTGGAACTGACACGTTTGCTTGTGTGGCGTTGCTGCAGGTGATTTGGGTTAGTGCAATGTAGTGATGGTGCAACCAGATGCAAGTTGAAGCGTGCTCGAGGATTGCTACACTGCAGGCATAAGTTCCGAGAAGAACCGCGCAGGCTTGTTCGTGTTTACCATGCCATGGGGGAGTTGGGACGCGAACGCGGTGCGCGTGTGGCTGCGGCAAGTCTGCCGCTCTTTGTCGACGCAGAAGCTTCTTGCCCCGGCCGGGGACAAGTGCTGGCAAGTGAGTTCATATGGGCGGTGTTGCAACCTGGCAGGAGTTGTGTTGGAGGGGTCCTCTCATCCATCCGGCTACCGGCATGTGAACATCTCAGGCCACATGTTCAAAGTCCACCGTTTGGTGGCCTTTGCTTTCTTGGGTCCACCACCTAATGAGCTACAATGGCAAGTGCACCACCGTGATGGCAACCCGTCCAACAACCGTTTGGACAACTTGGAGTATGTCACCCAAAGCCAGAACATTCTCTGCTCATATGCAAACCCTTCAAGACGCACCTCTGGAAACTATCACTCAAAGCCTGTCATGTGGCGAGCTCCAGGGTCCCAAAGCTGGACCACTTCGCCCTCCATGACGCATGCAGCAGAACAGCTTGGGATGCACAGATCAGCAGTTTCGAAGGCCTGCCGGCATGGCAAGCAGGCAAAGGGCTTCGAGTTTCAACTGGCCGACTGCAGTCAATGCGCATCCATGGTTGAAGAGGAGTGGCGACAGATGTATGATCCAATGTTAGGTGATCCAGTTCCTGGAAGAATGGTCAGTTCACTTGGCAGGATTTGGTCGAAATCTGGCAAAATTTCCAGGGGATGGCGCACGACAGAGGGCTATTACAGGACCCAGCTGACATTGAGTCCAGGGAAACGAACTGAATCAGTCCATCGCCTCGTGGCCTTTGCATTTTGTGGGCCACCTGTGAACCCTGCGCGCACTCACGTGAACCACAAGGACTGCAACAAAGGAAACAATGCATCGGAAAACCTAGAATACGTCACCGCCTCCGAGAACATGGCGCACTATTGGGCCAATACAAGCAGCCGTCCCCAACCACATGGCAAGCCGGTGGAGAGCAGACGACATGGTAGCAATCGTGAATGGCAGAGGCATGCTTCTGTGACAAGTGCTGCAGAAGTCCTTGGAGTGCATGCTTCCAGCATCTCCAAGTGCCTCCATGGCCAGCGTAGTCAGACTGGCGGATTCGAGTTCCGCGCAGCCAGGATGCAGTGGGCAGACCCCTATGAAGATGAGGAATGGCGCAAAGTCGACCTTGAAGCTCATGTTCAGGAAAGAGCTACCAGAAAAGAAAAAACATGTTTACAACTGAACAGGGCATTTGCACAGCTCAAAAACCATCAAACGGTGAGGGAGTTCCCAGGCGCCATAGTCATAGCAAGGCCCAGCTGCAGCATGATGAGCAACTGACGAAATTGTATGTTGCAAGACCACGCAAGAAGTTTTTTTTTGTGGTCTTAGTACTGGTACTGGCTGATGGTGACCACCTTGACTGACCAACCCTGTGACGGATACCCTTTTCATGGAAACTGAATTCGGGACAAAGAACATACTCTGAGAGCAGTCCTGTTTGATCTGGCAGAGGGCTCAGCAAATAAGATTGTGCGTCACACAGACAAATGCCCATGTTTTTGCTGGGCCGCACAGCACCCCCGATTGCAAAAGACCACACGCTACGTGAGAGTACACATTACAGGGGTTCCGGAGCCGGCCGTATACCGCTTGCAAGGGGGTATCAGGCAGAACTTCCTACACCTGCATCTTTTTAAACACATTTTGGGGCATTCAACGAAGTCAAGTCCGTTTTGTGGCCAAGATAGTGCTGTCTAAATGTAGTTTTGTTTAGTCATGGGATGAGTGACAAGTTCCGCCCCAAAATTCCAAATAGCACTTTACCCGCCCGGCTGATTCAACCACTTGCCCGAAGGAAAGTGGGATTTGACACTCTCAATTGGACTGTTCACCTTTGCACTGCAGACACTGGATTTGCACGCTGAGAAATATCTCGTGCCTGGGAACCAATCCTTTATGTGTGCTGCCTTGCTTCCTTGCTCAAGGTCACGTGTATTATATATATATGACTATTATTGAATATATATATAATTATGTAAAGTTAATGTATCTATGTGCATTAAACATCATCCACCAAACTATGTCGATCACCCTGGTCAGCTGCCAAAGTGCAGCCACACACGCAAGGTTGATCCCCACTTGCCAGGCCGGCGTGAACATTGCGAGTCTTTGGCTGCTCAAGGCATATCACAGCGCCGCGCGGGCACTTGAGAGCCGAGGACAAGAGAAGTGCTGGCAGGTGAGTTCGTACGGCCGTTGCTGCAATTTGGTAGGAGTCATATCTGAGGGCCATGAACATCCCTCCGGCTACCGGCATGTGAAAATCTCAGGCCGCATTTTCAAAGTTCACCGTTTGGTGGCCTTTGCTTTCTTGGGTCCACCACCATCAGAGCTAGCATGGCAGGTGCATCACCGCGATGCTAATCCATCAAACAACCATTTGGACAATTTGGAGTATGTCACGCAGGGCCAGAACAATCTCTACTCACATGCTAAACTGCACAGATACAGATACGTCAGCAACTCTGTGAACTCCAGGGCTGTGATGTGGAGAGTTGTGGGGTCTCAAAGGTGGACCACCTCGCCTTCCATGAGACATGCCGCAGAACACTTTGGCATAAGTCCGTCTACTGTTTCGCGAGCCTGCCAGCATGGCAACCCTGCAAAGGGCTTGGAGTTTCAGCTGGTGCGCGAGCGTTTCCACGAAGCTTTTGTGGGAGAGGAGTGGCGACCAATGTACGACCCAATGTCAGGTGCTCAGATACCAGGAAGGATGGTGAGTTCATTTGGCAGGGTGATGTCAAAAGCTGGGCAGATATACCGAGGTTATCCCACCAAGATGGGATACTACAGGACCTCGTTTTGCTTGAATTCACGCCGACGGTGTGAATATGTCCATCGCCTTGTGGCATTGGCTTTCACGGGGCCTCCTGAGAACCGTGAGCGCAACCAGGTAAATCACAAAGACCTTGATAAGGGAAACAATGCAATCGAAAACCTGGAGTACGTCACACCATCCGAGAATATTGCTCACCACTATGCCGCCACATTGAGCAGGAAGCCCAGGTCAGGTGGCAAGGCGGTGGAGAGCAGGTTTTGTGGAAGTGATGGAGAGTGGCAGTGGCATCCTTCTATGCAGAGTGCTGCCAAGTTCCTAGGGGTCAGCAATGGCGGCATTTCGTGTTGCGTCAAGCGGTCTAGGAAGCAAACTGGGGGTTACGAGTTCAGACCGGCGGGGCGGCAAGCAACTGACATACTATATTCAGATGAGGAGTGGCGCTCAGTTGACATTGAAGCTCATCTTTCAGACAGAGCCCTCAGAAAAGCAACCAAGCACGTTTCTGCTGGTGTCATTCACTGACTGAAGCCACTGATGTATGTGTGTGGATGTGCATTGTGAATAGTTGTGCCAATGGAAGAATCACTCACCTTCACCACAAGTGAACGTGAATCACGAAACATTTGGTTTGTAGCTGGTCTTGAGCCATTCTGAAGCAGTTAAAGCTCAGTTGTGATATTTGTTTACTGTAGGGATTTCGGTGCATTAGCAATCCCGTTCTATAGCACAGTCTGGTCCCGGAACTCTATACAAGTATCAGTATGGGAAGAACTTAGAGTTCAATTATGTGCTGGCCCTATACACGATTTTTGGCTAGTCCAATCCACGCTCATATGCTTACTCAATCAGACTAAGAACAGGGATCAGTGAACCCATGCTTACTTGGATGGTCACTCTCCTTTTCCGAAGCAAGACGGGCTCGTGGGTCGGCGCGTAGCGGCGCCTTTTCCGTAGCGCTGTCGGGTGCTGCGCCTGGCAGGTGCTGCGCTTAAAGTGGTCAAAGGAGAGTAGGAGACATTCTGTGAAGGAGTTCACCTTCTTGGGGTCTCCACACGCCTTCACCACTCACCCTAGACAATTGCATCCTTTGTGCGCACATTGGCGGTGGGACTTGCCTCACGTGCCATTTATGGAACAGGTTAGTCATTCTTGGGCATCTGTGTGGTCTGACCTGAACTCATTTACTTTGTGTGTGTGTGTCTGTCAGGCGGGATGGCTGACCAGGACCTGGTGGGATAGCGTGAAGTCATATGGGAAGGTGGTTGGAAGCATCATGAGGTTCTGCTTCAAATCGGGTTTGCATATAAGTTCACATGTTGTTCAGCTTTGATCCCAAGAATCTTGTCTTGATTCTGAGACACAGATCCAATATTGCACCAGAGAGGTCGTTTAGGACTAAGACTGGCCTCGCACCCTGGAAAGAAGGGCCTTGTAAGGTTAGAATGTTTACAGGGGACCTCACGTTACACGCAAGCGCACCACCAATTCCCCGCATGGCACGGCGTGGCACGGCGAGGATCGTGTGTCCCAGCTGGTGATCGGCATTTTCAAGCCCGAGCCCGATTGGAGTTCTGATGGGCTGGGTTCGTGGAAGGTGGGATGCATGTTTGCTTGAACCGAATCCTGAAGAATGCCAAGCTTTGGGCTTCGACCCCGGCCAGGACTTCCTGGGGGGAGATGGGCTTTACTTGATGGCGGGCAGACCATAAGCTGAGGGAATCAGACTCTCCAGGGTAACTGACCAACGTAGGAGCGACCCCAGAGAAAGAGAAGGGTTAAAAGATTGTTTTTTCCAGCGGAAAACCTTGGGTCGCCGTTCAAAACATGTGTGGCTCAACCGCATAGCATTTGTGTGAGGCATTGAATAGATTGAACATGGACCCTCAGACAACATGATAGTTCATTAGTGCGCGTTCTTATCACAAAGGCAGTGTACATAGTTCTAAACTCTGATAAGTTCCTTTCTGGAGGATGTCATTTATATATGCGTGTTGGCTATAGCTCCGAGGTATAAAAAACAGAGTTGCAGACAAGCCACAAACTGGTCAAACGTTATGTTAAACACTGTTATGCCATTTGGATCTTACAAGATGGCCGGCCTCTCATAGATTCAGCCGTACGAGTTTCCATTCACACACAACAGGCGTGAGGCACGTGAGGCATGAGGCGAGCAAGAAACAAGCCTGGCAGCGCAGCGGTGCAGACGACCATCGAAGAATCCACACGGTCAAAAGTCACACCGCAATTGCTTTGAAACGATGTTGGGCAGCTGATGCCGTGCACCAGGCCGAGTTGAGGGAACGGTTTTTTGAGTGCAAGGAGTAACATTAATTAGGCACCTCGGGACACGCTTAGTCACCTAGTCACCATGACTTTGCTGGTTCTGCGTCTCGAGCATTCAAGGTTGCAATGAGATTTACTGTTGGCGGATGGCCAGCGGTACCCTCACGAAATGGTGTTGGCAGAAGCGCCCTGCCAGTTTCACTTGTTCGTTGCCTTGCTGTAGCTTGCTTTGGGACAAGGATTTGTTGGCTGCAAGTAGTTGAGCACTTGACACCACAAAGGCCCGCCGGAGCAGAACTTCCTTAATGAACTTGGTTTTGTGTACAGTGTACAAGTACTGATGGCTAGAACAAGCTGGCATAAGCCTGAACAAGGAGCCTATTCTCAAGTAAATCGGAAAGAAGAGTCCCCGAGGAAACAGAACTCAGTTGGCATGGTTTGAATCATGGCCCCACTGTCACCTATTTGTGCTTTCCTAGCCCTTGTGATTGTGCTCGAAGAACCCCAACAGTGCCACGTAGGTGCTAGGCAAGCTTTGCATCCATGGCGCAGCAAGTGATACCAGCCACAGTCCTAGGCCAGCTTGGGACTGGTCATGGCCGCTGCACACAGTTTGTTTACTTGCAGTTGGGTTTGATTTGACACACTCAACCATGCCACGGTTGGCCTTGTTATTGAGCGCAGGAACTTTGAATTGATCATTCCAGAGAAGCGCCGATATTGCAAACGCCTCTTCTATCCGCTTCCTGTCACCGTGCGAAGGCTCCACCTGGGTCCCCATGGGCACACGCGGTGGGGGGTCCTAGTGAATGTGTCGGAACCATCAAGGAGGACGCTGAGCAGTAGGAAAGTGTGTATAAACATCAACAACGGGAAGGATGATGTGTGTTGATCTACAAGTTGATTACTTGTACCATAGGGAATTCGTCTCAGGAGTGGGTTCAACAGTTGCCGCCCTAGAAGCGCGCCAGTTACAGATTGCAGAGGATGTTTGCGTTTTTGTGTTGACGGAGGGATAAGAGACGAACAGAAAGCAAAGAGGCCTGCACTGTAGTGCTTAAGCGAGCTGTGAGCCTCGTAGTGGCTTTGCTTGTGACATCCAATGACTAACGACTAGTGACTAGTGGGCTCCAGTGGATGCTTTCAAACAAACCAATCCCCGTTCACCTGGTCAACCTGTAGCTTGTGCCCAAATCGGTTTGCAACGCCAGTCAAGCAGACTGGCACCCTTTTGGACCTTGATTCGGCTCACTGGCAAAGTGTTACACAATGCTCGTGGCCAGCAGCAGCACCATCGCCATGTTCCCTGCATGTAGCATGGATGCTATACTGGCAAGATGCTCAAATAATAATAAAACAATCAAATAGCTGCCCCATATGGCCCTGGGATAAAGGACCTGGTTGGATCTATGCGAATGCCGAAGCTGTTCGCCGAGTCTAAAATGAAGATTTAGTGAATATGTTGGACTATGCACTCCCACACCTTGCTCATGCAGGACAACGGTTCCAGGTTTGTATTTGGGTCCAGGTGGCGAAGCTCACACATAGGCTTTGACATTTTTACTGCACGAACAGTGCAAGACTTTTTGAGTTTTCGTGCATGGTGAGCTTCTCAGATACTCCCTTGCCTTTGGCTTTATCCTCGAACAAGCACGTTTAAATCCTTTGGCTAGGATCTTCCGTGGAGGCTACCGCTCCTGGAGTCAGACAAGTTTGCAGACAGGTTTTGTTCAATAATGTGACCCAACTGAACTCAGCAGGAACATTTTATGTATTACATGTAAAATATATATTTAATCAACTACGATACACTGCTATGTATTTATCTATAGATGCCTCCTGTTTGAAGGGTCATAGTCATAGGCAGTAGCGCCAGCCCAGGGGGATTCCACTGTCAGGGCAGCAAGCCATGGGCCATTGGATGACCGTCTGACCATTGACAAAGAACTAGAAAAAGACCCACAAGAACAAGAACATTGTTTGATTTATAGCTTCGCTGATTAACAAGTAGAAAGCATGGCACGGGTCTGTGATGAGATAGGCTACTCGCCCCAAGGCCTATAACGTCTTCACTAGTTTGCACATAAGAACTGGAAGGGAAATTCAACCACCGTTCCCGTGCTCAACATTCAAAACATGATTCCTTCAAGATGGGAGGTGCTGATTTGGACACCTGGGGCAAAGTCCAATGTTGACAACACGTCGAACGCCATGCGGTTTGTTCCACAGGTGGCCCATTGCAGTGCGATACTTTACCAATCAGCTGTTGGAAGATCCCAAATCTTGCTGGCAGGTGAGCTCGCATGGAAGGCTTTGCAACACCAAGGGAGTCATTTCGATGGGGTCTTTCGATTGCGGTGGCTACAGGCGTGTTAGTATCTTTGGGGAGTCGTTCAAGGTTCATCGCGTGGTCAAGATCACATTTCATGGACTTCCCACATTTCAAGAGGCTTGGCAAGTTCATCATATAGATGGCAACCGGGCCAACAATCGCTTGGGCAATCTGGAGTATGTTACGCACAGCCAAAACATGCAGCACTCATTCTCGAATCCTACAAGGTCCAGTAGTGGACCTGCACACTCTAAGCCTGTGCTGTGGAGACCCGCCGGGTCCATGAGCTGGACTACAAGCCCTTCTCTCACAGCTGCAGCTCAGCAGCTTGGGATAAACGTGGGGACATTGTCAAGGTGTTGTTGCAAGAAGTCTGCGGCCAAGGGCTATGAGTTTAGGTACCATGCTGCGAGTGAGCTCACTTTGCCTGGAGAAGAGTGGCAGCAGATGGTCGATCCTAGGTCAGGTGCTTTAGTGCCAGGAAGGATGGTGAGCTCCCTTGGCCGTATAACATCGCGGACTGGATTGATCAGCAGAGGATATCGAACAAACAGTGGATATTATGCAACAGCATTGACGTTGAACTCACACCGCCAGGGTGCGCTTGTGCATCGCCTGGTTGCTTTTGCTTGGCTTGGGCCACCGCCCTCTGATCATAAAATATTCGTGAATCACAAAGACCTCGACAAACGAAACAATTCTGCCGGCAATCTGGAGTGGGTCTCCGCTTGGGAGAACCGAACTCATTTTTTGAGAGCGTCCACCCTTGGTTTTGGGACTTCTGCAAAGCCCGTTTGGAGCCAGGCTTATGGAATGAACGACAAGTGGACATGGCACTACTCTTTAACAAGTGCCGCAAGTGAACTTGGTGTTTGCAGACATGGCATTTACCGATGCATCCACGGCCTGCAGCGGCAAACCGGTGGATTTGAGTTCCAACTGGCAGGTGCTTTGGACACGGATCCTGTGCCCCCGGGCGAAGAATGGCGCACAGTAGACATGGCTGCCTTGCGACATGACAAGGAATCCCGCAGATGTTCTCCAACTCGCAGTGAAATGCTTCCATTTGTTCATGAGTGAAAACTGTACGACAAGGGAAGAGGGCATGGGTGGATGAGGCAATGCCAATATAGTTTGCGTTCTGTTTTTGCACACGCACCATGGTTTGATGGTAAAGAGTCATTATAAATCGATGAACATGTGCTGCAAACAGCACCCCAGGTCTGCTTTCTACTTAATTAAGCTGGAATTCATCCATTGACATCGGGGGGATAGTGCCTCAGTAAGTTGATAACCACGACTACGTTTACAAGGCACCATGGAGGCATCATCAAGAGAACCTTGCTAAAGCATGGGGTCGCTGGTGAGATTTCCGCTGAGCCCCGCAGCCCAGGCCAGCGCATGCCTGAGAAGCAAAGGCAGTGATGCCGTAGTGTTTGGTGCGGGATGCTGACAGCTCCAACCCTTCATGACTCTCCCACAACAAATGTTTGGCTGTTGCTATGAGCGAGGTGCCAACACCGAGACAATGGGCATTCGACTAAATGACACCGTCCGCGAGTCCTTTTTTGAGTGGTGTGAAAGTTGCGGGCCATTGCTGGGGTGCAAATATTTTGCAGTGCTCAACTGCATGCATGGTTGGCGCTAAATATACCTTTGGCCAGCCTTGTGAATATGTAGGGGGAAGCCAGTCGTTGGGGGTTCTTGGGTCCAGCACCGCAAACGTTTGGCCAGGGTCCAGATTCCCCGTGCATGGTCCCAGCCAGTTCCTCCAGCAAGGCCCGGACATGTCTGCGAACAGGGAAAAACCATCAGATTGATGCTCTGATCAGCTGCCGGCCAGTGAGCATGGCCTGGCTGAGATGCGTGGAGAGGACCACCCAATATTCAATGTACCTCAAAAGTAGCTCATCGGCGGCTGAAGATGGACAGCGCA